TTAAGATGAAAAATGGTATTATCTGTGATTCCTGAGCCTCGTGCCCTCAACTCGACTGATGCTTTCAATCGGTTCCGCCACAGTGGAAAACTTTCTGGGGTAGTTTTCGCTCGTAGACCTCCCACCGTTCCTCCCAAACAGAGCCAGAAGCGCTCTGAGCTGCTGCTGCCCTTTCCCTTCTCCAGCAGCTCCCTTTATTTGCCCGTGGCATTGCAATAGGAAGGGATTCTTTTTTTTTTTTTTTAAAACTTGTCTTATGGCTGCAGAGCTTTTGATAGACTCAGATCACATTTTCAGGTGTTTCCCTGACCTCACAAGAGCTAGCAGTGCATAGTACAAAAAGCCGAGCGTCTCAAAGTATCATCTGGGTCCAAGAGCCCAGGCTTTAGCTGCAGCAGCAAACGTCATTAACATCACCCTGAGTGTCAGCAAGGACAATAAGCGGAGCCCATGTCCTGAGCATGTTCTTGTCTCTCCCTCTGGCGTGTCCCTGACAGTAGCATCTGCAGGGAGAGGGGGGCAAAGCTGGACATATCGCTGCATGGTTTCTCCACAAGAGTAGGAAGAAAGAAATATCTTGCCTGTGAATTTCAAGAAGTATTTATTTTCTTGGTCAGAAGGGGCTGTTACTTTCTCTGCAACCTCGTCAACACACAGAAATACCTCCTTCAGCCTAGGGCTTCAAAATGCCTAGGGATCGTGAGGCATTTGTTTAAAGACTGCCACTAAGATATTTTCTTCATTAAGTAAAAATCTACAGTTACAGTTTTGGGGGGTTTTTGAGCAGAATTTTCATCATCCTGGAGGAAACAGAGTAACAAACTACACCACAATTATCAGGAGGAGAACACCACATCTATTCTAGCTTAAAAAGAGGAAAACCCAAAGGAATGACATTTGCAAGCTTCAGTTGAACTGATTTATACACTGCTATATTCTATACGCAACATTTTTCAAACCACGTTAATTTTTCACTTTTCCAGCTACCACTAAAGCAATTAGCAGAACTCATTAGCTGAGTGACATTTTACAAATTAATGATTTACTCCTGTAAACTGATAGAAATGCATAATAAATAAATCTTGATTTAAATGGGATCAGGAAATCACTCAGTCCTGGAATATGTTTAATCATCATTCATGGTTTTAAAAACAGAAGTGTTGAGAAAATTATTATCTTCTGTTCCAGTTTAGTTTTTACTTCATAGAAGTAATTTTGTCCATGAAATTATTCAAGGGTAATTTTGAAAAGACAGCAAACATTAAGATTTCAAGTGCCTGAAATTATGGCAATGTGCATGTAAAGAAAGGATGAATTTCCCTCAGTGGATTTCCATTAGTGCAAACATCTTTATATTTTAATATGCCCAGAAATAATTCCTTGTCTCACTGGAATAAGAGTAGAATAAGTGAAAAACATCCGTGAGCCTCTGCTGTATCCATTGCAATTCAGAGATCTGACTTTTGATACCTGGGCTAGACGACACTTTAGTGTCGCCAGCTCTATATCACAGTAGATACTGAATTAGAAGATGAGCTTTAAATTGAAATGTTTTGAGTAAAGGTGAAAGCCTGGTTTTATATTTCATGACTATCTTTGGGAACAAAGCTGAAGATAAATTTTGTCCCTATTAATCTGAGCATAGCCATGATTTACCACATGAGATTCCATTCTCCTCCAAGCAGTTTCACTGGCAGGGCGACAAGCCTTCAGTAAGGCAGCCATACTTGCATTTTACAACTGAATTAATATATAAATATTGATTTTGTGGTTTAGTCAGTGAAGGGGAAACTTACTTTTGATCAGTAAGAAAGCTTCCTCACATTATATAGCTATTGTAACCTCAGGTTTAAATAATGAAAGCCATAAAAAAAACCCAACTTTTTTTCATTTTCATCATCCTATTTATACACTATCCTCCTCCTCGAGGCATAGGTATTTTCCACTCATACTAGCATTTTGATAGAGTGTTTCTCACAAGCAACACAATTGATTTTACTTATCTTTTTATCTTAACAAATATGCTATACATAAATGGCTCTGCGTTACACGTGGAAAAAACGCCTGTTTGGTAACAGCTCCAAATACAACCTATGCAGTGGGACTCGCACAAGACACATATACTGAGCATCATTTCTACTGAACAGGAACTCTGTCAACAAATCCAAATGCTAAAAGTGAAAATTGTTCTATTTTTGTATTTGCGTCTTTTGTGTTTCTTCTGGGGCAAGACACAATGTAACTGCCAAAGGAACAGTTACTTTGAACCTCTGTATTCTGCTGCTGAACTTAGGAAAACCCTGTTTCAAAAGTGCAGTTGAATATGGTTCAAGAAATAATATCATTTCCTAATACTAAGAACTTTTCCAAAACAACAAGAAATTGTATTTACAGTCATAGTTTAGGGAATCTTCTGATGTATCTTGTCCTGAGAGAAGAGCAATAATTCCAAGAGGACTCCCAAGCTATTTAGTAAACAAAGCTAGGACTTAAATCTTCAGAAGCATATTAACCAAGGAACACATAATCCTCATTATGGAAAAGCCGACGTTTCAAGGCACAGGTCACTAGAGAATATGTATCCGAGCAAAACCTACTCATAGTCAAAACTGAAAGTGGATTGGTGCTCATTTCCTTTGTTAGCCTCAAGTCTTGAATCCTTAGAGTGAATAATATTTATCTATGACCTAGGACATGAAGGATATTAATACTGTTTGGCTTTCTCTGTAAGGACCCAGTGGGAGAGAAATAGATATTCAACACTTCTATTGATAAGTTTCTAACCATAGAACCAAGCTGTGTCTATATTCCCCTGCCACACCACCACCACCCCTCCTTTATTTTACTTGAAGTTTTGAATGATGCTGTAAGGATGTTAGGAGTTGCTGAATCCATCCGGGTAGAGGCAAGGCTACTGCAGCTCCATGTTCTCAGCTTTAGCCAGTAGTGTGGTTGAGCACATTTTCCCAATAGACACACACACAGACACATGCATATGATACATGTACATATGGCCAGCTCCACAGATCAAAACAGAAGGAAATCCTAGCAGCAGTCACACAACACAGATAGCTGATTAGGATGAAGGTCTGCTAGTAGGAAATACATACAGTGTGGACCCCTCCAGCAGCTGGCCTCACACACTCAGGCTGCCCAGTAGCTGACCCATGGATCCTAGGTCTCCCCAGTTGCTGACACATGAACAATTACAAGCCCCGAGGGCCACAGCCCAACTGCACTTGCTGATGCAGACCCCCTGACTCCCAGCTATGCACACACCCTCAGAGGGACACTATCCATACCACAAGTGCCTTTAGACACTTGGTTTACCCAGTAGCTGGCCCTGGATTCTTGGTCTCCTCCCAGCTGCAGGCATCTAGACAGGTGAACACCCAACACCCAAAGCCCTACCCCAGCTGCTGGTACACAGGAGCCCTCTTGCTCACACCAACCCACATACAGACACACACACTGTGTGGGTCCCTCAAGTAACTGGCCTTAGACACTTAGTATACCTAGCAGCTGATCTTTAGATCTTGCCATGTTCAGTTGTTTTGCATGCAGAGACAGACATATGTGGATGGGTCTCTTGATTGACCTCCAGACCCCACAATCTCCATAGTAGTAGGACTTCCTGGTCCCTCCAGTAGCCAACTCCCTCTAGGTGTCACAGAGGTTGACTGAGAGACTCCTAGGTCCCACAGTCTTTCCTGTAGCTGGCTTGGATCTCCTGCGACCTCCAGTACCTGGCTCTGAGAAGAAGAAGACGAAAAAAAAAAAAAAAAAAAAAAAAACAAAGGAGGATGTATGCTTACTGATGAGACAGAAGAGACATTTAGAAGCACTAGATGGCAGCAGTGCTCAACTCGTTTAATAAGGATACAAAAGTAGAGCAGTCACCTATATTCAGCAATGCCATTTCTATATATTTCCCATGGCACCTGAGACAGGAATTCAATACTAAAGGCAGCGTAGATAAATCTTACAAAGCTAAAGTGCTCAGTGAATACAGTAGGCAATGGCGGAATCAAGCAATCTTCCAATTTCCCACTACCATAAGAAGAGACGGGAGGAGTAGTAATGTGACAGAACCACTAACGATATTTCTCAGTATCAGAGAGAAAAATACGGCATAACTGGAGAGGTATACAGCGCTCCTGTCTCATCTCCCACCTCCCACTTCCATGGGGTTGGGCAATGCCACCCCTTTTCTCCCCTGCAGCACTGCCTGGTGCTGCTGGAGGGAGGGAGGAAGAAACACCCCACGCTGGCAAGGACTGCCGATATCTTCTGTGCAATTAACGGCAATAACTGGCGGTTAATTCAGGCAAGGCTTAAGCTTCAGATGGTTGAAGAAAAGATGGTAACATTGTAAGATCCAGTAAAAAAAGTGTGGTTGTGGGCCGTTCCCTTCCTCCTTCAGTACTTAGGACAAAATAACGATTTAGACACGCAGGTCTCTAACCTGCATCAGTTCCCTTGTGCTAACCAAACACTAGATGTGATTAAATGCACGGCCTGGTGACAGATGGTGCAGCTGCCCTCCGGTCATCAGTGAACAGGAAGGGCGCACCCCGGATCACCTTGTGAGAGACAGGACGCAGACCCCCAGCACCTGCAGTGAGCTGCTGTCTTGCAAGGGGATAGCAAAGGCTACCCTCAAACCTGAGCCTGGATCACATATTTATGCACATTTAATTTCACATTTTAAAAAACCTGCCAACCACCACCCAGCACTGAAGCTGTACAGTCCAGCCGCTTAACGGAAATACCTTCCCTGTGCTGAGGCAATGGCAGAGAATGTCTATGAAGAAATCCACTTGCTGAAGATGACCCCTTTGAAGGCATCTCCTCTCCATTATAAAATGCCTCCCCCTCAGCACATCCCCACCCAGGCCAGTCCCTCGGCAGTGCCCAGGGTGGTCACCATTGCTTCCTCTGCAACCCTTAGTAGAAAAGCCTCTCAGACAAGGCAGGGGGGAGTGGGCTAACTAACCACCATGCCGCCTCACCTGAGGCAGCTCCAGCCCCACCCCAACTGCCATCAACAGCCCTCAGCCGCCAGGGACATGGCGCCTGGGACATGGCAGGCACTCGTGGCCAAGCTCTGGCTCTGCTTATGGGTCTGCGGAGGTGGCTCAGGTTGCAGCCATGCATGGCTGGCACACTCAATACATTTCAGCCACGACGCAAAGCCAGCAAGAGGCATCCATGTGAGCTACTGTGGCAGCAGTCCCCTGGTTCTGCAGCACTCCTGTGAGGGGCACGGCCTTGGCAGGGTGGAGCCAAAGGTGGCCGTATATCCAGGGAAGGAGGTTTTCATCAGCCTGGATGCTTCTGAGAGCAGCCTATCCCTGCTCCCCATCCTCAAAGAGCGTGAGGCTGAGGAAGCCACTGTCAGTGCCATTGCCTTCTTGCACAAGGACGGGGTCTCGATGGTGGTCAACAGCCAGGTCTACATGTATTTCAAGACCATTGACAGGTGGGGTCCCATCAGCAGGAGTCACATCCCCAGTGTCCGAACTCTCAAACAACTATTGCTGCTACATGGGAGCAGACCCTCAGTGTAAGGAGCTCAGCTGGACCCTTTTTGGTTACAACACCAGGTGCTTTGTCAGCCACGTCTTCCTTTCACAGAACGGAGTTACACTTTTACACGCATTGAGACCAGTACAAGAGAGCAAGGAGTGCTGCTCAGCATCTACAATTTCACCTCCTTTGCCGTGACCGGCCTGCTGACTGACAGAAGTGGAGAGGATGAGGCAGGGAAAGCAGCAGGGGCCTATGCCAGGCACAATGGTGCCAAAAACAGCCATATGTCCAACCACAGCTCTACCACCTTCCACCTGCTGCCGAAAGGCCCTGCTAAGCTTTACAGTATCCAGAATCTTGCCTTGAGAGGTTTCATCATCCTCTGGACAACAGATCATTTGCTTCTATCTGCCAACAATTGTTTGATCATGGAAAAAGTGACTGTTGTGCACTTGGTGACCTTTCAAAGCACTACCTTCCCCAACAACATTTTCTTACTTGTGACTGTTAGCAGCTCCCAGATTGCAGTCTTGACCCAGGACAGACACCTCTTCTACAGTAGCATCAGCCAGGTCACTAGCGTGGTGTACATTGCCAAGGACGAGTGCATAAATTTGAAAAACTCAGGGATACCATTTGAAGAAAGAAGGTGGCTGACCTTCTCAGCCCTGCGATTAGCAATTTTACTCAGCTATATGACTTCAATAACTGCAAGCTCAACTTGCAATTAGCAGTCTGGAAATCTCAGCAGTCCTGCACTATGCAGATCCTCACAGGAGGCTACTGTAACAAGATCTGTTACATTGACATGCATGAAAATTTGACTTTCAGGGCCATGTTTGTGCCCAAGCCAGGTAAAAGGTCCACTCCCTTGGTGACAGTGAGCAGTGCCCATGAGCTGGCTTTCAGTGCAGATGTAATAGAAGTGGAATTGACATATGGTGGAAACACTGAATACCTCTTGCATTTTGTTCCAGTTTCTGAATTTGAGGTCACTGACTTCTACAACAGCGTAGGTGATGGAGAGAGGTCTACTGTCATTGTGGACATCCCTGACAACCCAACTGGTTGTGGCTTGCCTGATCGCACTTGTTGCAGTGTCCTGCCCACCTGCAAAGCACATCAGAATTGTAAAAAATGTGACACCATGTGATGAAGGCCTCATTCGGGAGGCAGCACTGAGAAATAATTCCAGTTGTACAATCAGCCATAACCTATACCACTCGTACTTTCTTGCTAGAGAAGATATGCAGCAGGACAATCTACAGACCAAATATAACTTTACAAATCTGCGATGTTGTCTTCTGGAATATTATAAAAATTCTTGGGTGCCAGTTTTTGAGTTACGGGAAAGCAATAGATTTCAGAAGCATGTCCCTGCTGAATTTGTACTGTTTGAAATAAATGGAATGCATAACTCTGACTATCTTTTGACTGCATGTGGTGCCAACTGCATCTCTCAACCTCAAAATTGGACGACTTTGCTAGAGGAACAGAAGTCTCCAGATCCACAGAGTGCACGGACCAGAAGCAACTACGTGAGCTGTAAGAATCGGAATGGACCTGAATTAAAGCGGCCCTCAGGCAGTATCTTGTTCTTGATGGCAATAAAAATAATATCATCTTCCCTCCATATAATGGTCCATCTATCTTCAAAGCCATTGTAGTGTATACATTTTACAGTTATTGTGATTTATCCATAACCTTCTCGGGATATGGTGCTTTTCCCAGGAACTACCTACATTTTTGGGCATCACTGACAGTCTTCCTGATTTTACTTTTGATTTTCCACGAGATATTCCTTATCTCCTCTATCTTTCTAAAATGTGAGATGCAAGAGTTAAAGTATTTTGAGTGGAATTTTTTAAAGTCTCTGGAAAATCTGACTTAGAAGTTCCCTTTTATTTAGGAAAGTTTTGTTGTTATGAAAATATGATAGAGAATCTAGCTTAATGTCCTTTTTCAAGTTAGAATGTTAGTGCTATTATTTTGAAATTGAAAGAGGAGATAATTTTACAATGGCTTAAACTTGTTAATCGATCATTTTTTCCTGTTTTTTCCCCGCATCTTTCATTCTGAATTTTTCACTGACCCTATGCCAGGCTAATCTTATTTGTTCCACTGTAGAGACAGTTTAAAAGTCTTTCCAGTACAAGTGCATGATTTTAGAAATATGACAGCTTTTAAATTTAATTTTAGGAAACAGCTTTAATTAAGTGGACTTCAGAGGATTTCTTACTAATTAGTATCAATCCAGGCTGTGTGACGAAGACCAACTTGAAGTTGTAACCAACTCCTACAGAGAGCATAGCTTTTCACTCATGCTGAATATCAGGAGAATATTACCTGTCTTAATAACTGTACTGTGAAAGCCCATCATTCTGTAGAATTTCTAAATCTGTTGTATGGATGGATTTTTTTAATATATTTAAAGTCATTTGATAGACATTTTCTAATAAGACAGTAATAGCCAATTAAAATTAAACCAACCACAATAGTAAGGAAATGGCCATTTCGTCTACAAGTCAGACAACAATTAACACAGCTTTTGCTATGAACTATTTCAGACAACTGTTTTAGAATCCTGTGAATCTGCAATATATATGACTTTTCATTATTTATTGCTAGTTAGGGCCTTATTCTATTACACGGAATGTTTAACAAGGTTTAAATAATGTAGTTTAAGATAGAGATATTAATGATGAGTTTCCATTGTAATTAAAACTTCAAATGAAAGTAAGTTTGTTTTGCCTGTTTCAATGCACAGAAGAGTTCAGTTTAAAAGTTAAGATAAGGCAACAAGTTCTGAAAACTCCACAGCTGTACCAGCATAAACAGTCCTTCTAAAAAATTTTTAGAATAAAGTACACAATTCAAGGAGAATACTACATTTAGTATGATTTCTACCATTTTTTAAAATGGTAGATGGGATTGATGCTCGAGACCGGAAAAAGAACAAGACCTTGCTATAACTTCATAGTCATCTCCCAAAACAGTAAGAGGAATCACAGAAATCTCCCTTCAGGTAAATATTATAACTGAAGCAAAAAATGGAGCCTCTTTACAAAGAGATAGGAGATTCTGGGCATTCCTTCCCCCATACTAGCAGTCAGTCTAATTGCATATGAGCTATTAAAAAGCAGTCTTTGCCCACAAAGTAATTAAAGGCTCCATCTCTTTTAGTAACTACCAACTATAATTACTCCAGAATTTGTGATTGACAGCCTGAACAACAAGTTACATGCAGCTTCAAGACGCATGCAGACTGTTAAACAGGTACTGCCTGCTGCCTCCCGGGGCTTGGCCTTGTGTGCTCTGCTCAGCTTCTTCCTTTTTGTCTGGTTTCAAACGGCAAGATCCCATCCCTCTCCTCACCACAGTTTCTCTAAACCTGCCCCTTCCTTCCCAACCCTTCAGCCAAGCTTGCGTGCTTTCACTAGGGTTACCCGAATGACAGCAATCATCTTTTTAAAAGCCAAATTTCGGCCCTCTTGGTTCAGGAGAGCAGCAGTTGAGTTCGTTCCCTTAGTAATCACTCTGCCTACAGGCACCACCCAGACATCATCCTTATTTTTCATTACAGTGGAGGCCCTCCAGTTTTCCCTTGGAAAGCTCTGTCCAACTCTGCTCCTCTCTTCCTCCTTCCCCTCCCAGTGGCTGAGGTTCCCATTGTTCTTTCATGGGATCCACTGGAACAGTGGATCCACTGGCACAGGCTGCCCAGAGAGGTGGTGGAGTCTCCCACTCTGGAGACATTCAAAAACCGCCTGGACGCTGTCCTGTGCAACCTGTTGTAGGTGACCCTGCTCTGGCAGGGGGGTTGGACTAGATGATCTCCAGAGGTCCCTTCCAACCCTGACCATTCTGTGATTCTGTGATACACTCAGCCCCTTCCCTCTGCACACTCTCTACGTTCCCTCTTCAACTCTGCATGGCACGCAGCTTTCTCAGCACCCTTGTCAGACAGTGTCACATACAAATGAAAGCAAGTGATTTTTGTACCATTCAGGCACGTATTCACTTCTATTACCTCCAGGTGGCATTCTTCTCTAATATTTTTAAGCAGATTTATAAGTATTTTGGAGATACGATAATTCATACAAGCAGAACACCACTAGATAACTGCCTGAAGTTATACATTCTGATGAAAATAGACAAATTCTGTAAGCAAACTACAAATATAGAGTATTAGGCATCCTACTTTAATGTGCATGTGCAAACTGAACAAGGAAGATGATTTCTGCTGCGTTACAGGACAGAGAAACAAGAAGGGGCTGGCTGAATTACTACAGGAAGTAAAAGTAGCATGTAAATAAACAATTTGGCTGCCATACTATGAATGTCATTGCTTTATTATACACAATGGAAATATTAGAATTCACTCTCAAACTTAAGGAAATGATATAAAGTAACCTGCTTTTGCCAAGAACGGTTGGACCAGATGATCCTCGAGGTCCCTTCCAGCCTGGTATTCTATGAACTATAGAAGTCATCAGCTACATCGATTGATATTCTCTCCATTCTCAAACTATACCTTCATAAACTTTGCATGCTTTCTATATCAACTTCACAGCCTACTGAAGACACTATAAAGCCTCCAGCTTTATATTGCACAAACCAGTAATCTGCCGGGGCAACATTTCACCAATTTTTGGCAAAGCACGCCAGAACCACCTGAATTCCCATAGCCCAGGATGGAGTAATGCATGCCCTTAAGTATGAAAGCAATGGCAGAATTCACCTCAAGTAAAAAGCCTTTTTTTAAGCCTACTAATGAATGGAATTATTTCTGTGTTTTATGTAATACAAGACGAAATTATTCCCAAATTCCCCACCATGCCAAGAATGAAACTGGGCATTTTACTTCTCACCAAAACCCCCAGCTTGGCAAGTTTCATGGTTTTATATTACAATAGTACAAAAATGAAAAATCATTAGATTCCTAAAAACAAAGATTCTCTGGATCTAGTAATTTCTGGGGGCTTTTTCTAGCTATCTTAAAGGAAGATGCGATATTTTGATCTACTCTGAGCTGTGTTGTATCTTGCACCTTCCAGCAGGTTCACAGGATTCTTTTGAAGGAGTATTGCTCTGCATGCAGCAGAGTTTCAGCCTTTACAGAGATACTTATTTGCTCAACAGCAAGACCAGATAATTTTAATTTCAGTACAACTGTTTTTTCATCATCTCTGCGGGTCCACACATGGCACAGTTTTCCATGTGGGAATTCATTAATGAGCCAGCCTTAGCTCCATCTCCATGCTTGCTCCTCTCCTAAGCAATCATGTAGTAGGCTTGTGTTCTGACACACCAATGACCACATTTTTTAAGTCTGTTTTGAACAGCTCTACGCTTTTCACACAGCATAATGTGCCTGACCAGCAACGCACCATGAAGGAACCAGTGTCAAGTTAGAAATAAAGCATGTTAATGGTGACAAAACGGAATCAGTCCTTGGACACACCATGACAACAGTCTTCTACAACAGTATGCTAAGCTTTAGAAGTTAGAATCACAGATACAGCTTTTCAGTAAGTGGTCTTAAAATATCACAAGTTGAAAACTTCAGTATTTTTGGAATTGCCACCTAAGGAAGGAGAACAAAGGGGAGATTTTACTTAAGTGTGAAGAGAACGCAAGTTTGGTCTGTTTGAGGTTGGTGGGATTTTTTTGTTATTTTTTTAGCTGCATGATACTCTGTCTGTAGCATAATCAGTCTGGCTTATTTGTAGGGTTGACAGCCTATACTGTTGAGCTTTGCAGAACTCTTTGGGAACACTTGGTATACATACGAGAGAAACCCCTCATATCTAGATACAGGGACATAGAAACACATCTCAAAGCTGCATGCTGAAGAGGCTGCTAGTTTTACCCATGCTGAATAAAACATTACTCCAACTCTTTTAGCCTCCTGCCACATCTTTAGCTCACCATAATCCTATAAACATTCTCAGAAACACAAAGAAGGGTCCACCTAGACACAGCGTCTCCTTCAAGACAGCACATAATGTGTTATCACAGTTTTTTACCTAGATTAGCACTAACAGACATGACAAGTGTTGGTTTACTTAATCTAAAAGTTAGAATCACTGACAAGTAATGCACCGGTCACCAGAACAGCACAGCCTGGTAGTTTCTGTAGTCAAGCCTGCAGTAAGCCTGCTCTTTACAGCTGTGCAACTTCAAAATCACAGGAGATACCATTTCTTACCAGTTTCTTCTGACAGGCTGAAAAGCAGTTAAACTTCTGACCCATCTCTCACAAAACTCTTGTGGAAACATCCTCTATCAGAATAATGTGACTTGTGCCACTCAAGTATTTGAAGATGTCTTAAAAATACACCAACCGTGACTCAGAACATTGTGGCCTACAGCTGGGTAGCTGAACAGCCTCTAAAACAAACTCCTTCCCACACCTCATATCTCCTGGATTTGGTGCACAACTTAAGGGTACAATGCCAAGAATCATTTAGAAAGATTAGTCTGCCTATCTGCCCAATAGCAGAAAAGAAAACCTCAACCCCTGAGGCAACATATTCATTGTTAGATAATACTGAAGTATTCTATTGATTCACTAATATGATCCACAGTCACATGAAGTGTGACTATGAAAGGACATGGGCTGTGAATGGGTTTCTAAGGCTTTTCAGGAAGTCTTAACTCCTAG